GGACTGTGTGGTAGTCTTCTGCTAAGAGCAACTCAATAAGGCGAATGTCCTCAGCTGACAGTGCCAACAGAAACAGAAAAGGCTACTCTTGAGAAGGACGCCTGAATAGATAAACAGCGCTTTCGAAATTATAGGAATTGAACGACAAAGTTTGCCTCTTCGCCAATATACCTCACTGCTGAAGCGGTGTACACACTAGCAAAGTGCTGTGGAATCCCGAAGCACAGGTTTTAAGGAAAAACAAACTTCTTTCCCGTTGGCAAAAGTAGTGATTGGTTATCACTGTCTTTATTCAGATTTGCGCTCCGAAACTTTTGTATCATCCGTTGACGCAGTTTTGCCTGGTGTCTTTTAATTTTGAGATTATAAATTTGGAATTATTTCATTATGTATCTTTGTTAATATAGCGGTCAAAATATTTTAAGAAATTTCAGATTGTGGATCGTGCTGGGCTTGTGGTACGTTTTTTTTCCTTCATTCTGTTCATTATGTTCTTTTTTCGTAAGTCGTAATCTTTTTATCATATCAGAAGGTACTCTGAAAACAAAAAACACCACGAATGTACGATAAGGATATTAAATTCAGGTACGACAAGTGCGCTAGCCGATCGTTTCAATATCAAACGGAAAGGAGCATGGCCATCTGCTTACCTCTCCGTTCAGGAGGTTCCTCTCAAAATCGTTCAAAAATCTTTGTATTTTCTAGAAATAAAAAGGAAAATTCCTGAAAATATAACTATTTCATTATTGATGAGAGGGAAAGTAGATAAATGGAAGTAGGACCGAATTCCAGGTTATCGATTGTGCAGGTACAGGTAGTTGCGAAGGTGGCGAACCTGGTGGTGTTTACAAATATGCCCATGAATTTGGCATACCACATGAAACGTGCAATAATTATCAAGCAAGAGATGGAAGTACGTAGATTCAATAATAGTTCAAATTTTAATTCTCAGTTGAGAAATTCAAACTTGATTTTAAATTTAAGCCGAGGAACTGATCGTTACCTCGATATTTTCTTGACTCAGGCAATTTAGAATATGATACTTCCATTTAAGCAGTAAAAAGAATAGGTAAATTAATAAATGATACACGAAATGAAATAGTAATTTTACAGCTTGTTCACCATACAATAAATGCGGTTCATGTTGGCCTGGATCATGCTTCTCGATCAGAAACTATACCATATATAAAGTGAGAAATTACGGGGTTGTTTCGGGTCTGAAAAAGATGAAAGCAGAAATTTACCATCATGGTCCAATCGCGTACGTTTTGAATGTGATTGTTCACGGAAATCTGAAAATCTGAATATGTAATGAGCAGTTTGTTGAATAGAAAATAAATTATGAATTCGAAAAAATGCATTGAACGAACGGATAATTCTCGATGTTCGCTTCAACTAGAATGACATTTTGTCAACCTAATAGATGTTGGAACTTCAAATTCAATTATGATTCTTGTTTTCGGATGGAGAAAGTTGATCCTTCTTAGATTAGTTAATCAGAAAATAATTTATAATATGTCAGGTGCGGTATTGCTGCAACAAAAGCATTCGAAACATATGGAGGAGGGATTTACAATGAAAAAACGGACGACGATATTGACCATATCATATCCGTTCACGGCTGGGGAGTTGATTACGAATCTGGCGTGCGGTATTGGATCGGTAGAAACAGTTGGGGAACGCCGTGGGTATGTATTAGAGCTTCTCTTATCCATAATTAGAAAAGTGCCAGTGTTTCCCCAACTTTGCAGGTGATTAGAGTTTTAAATTCAAATTTAACTCATCTCAAATCATCGGAGTTAGAAGTGATTACCAGGATAAATACTTCTTGTTTCCTGGAAAACATTCATACAAACCTTTAATCTTGGCAGAGAAGCATAGGCTAAAAGTTGATCACGATCCTAGAGAAGCAAAAATGAGGAGCAATCATTTTATATAATTTCCAGCTACTTTACTTTCTGATAAAAATAAGTAAGAAAATTTCAGGGCGAAAATGGATGGTTCCGAATCGTAACATCTGAATATAAAAATTCTAGTTCGAAGTACAATCTAAAAATCGAAGAAGATTGCGTCTGGGCTGATCCCATTGTATAATACGTTTTCATTTTGTCTTATTTTCCTACTGTTCACTTTAATAATACTAATGATATTTAAATGTGACAGTCATAAATTCAAATATATAACAATGCAAAATATAGACGCTTTTAGCATGCATTTAAAACAACACATTTAACAAACTTCTCTCAAAAAAACTCCGCTTCTTGATATTTGTGTCATGTGCACTTACGAAAACAAACACACCCTTGAAACAACGCATTTTGGAATTTTGTAAATTTTGACAAATATACGCGACATCTCAGTCTGCCAAACAGAGAAAAATGATAAATGACATGTGGTCCAAGTTATGAAAAATTTTGGCTGTTTGCGTAATCTATTCATATTGAATTTACCACAATTAGCTTTTTTTTATAATTTTATTAGTTATCATTAAAATGTAAATTTTAAGCAAAAAGTGATAATCCAATTTTTATTCTTGAATTTCTTTTTTTCAAACTTCAAATTCACTGTTTTATATCATAAACATTAAAAAGCAGAAATTTTCAAGCAATTTCGATCAAAATTTTACATTTTTGTGGTTATAGCCAATTGCAGCAATTTGACAGTCCCTGTTTATGTTGGTGGCCAACCAAGCTGACGTCCACCGAGCACATGGACATGAAGATGATAAATACTTTGACATCCGTGCTTTCCATTGTTGATAACCACCCGATAGCCATCTTTTAAGCCCAATTTATTTGCTGCTTTAGCTGCTGCTACCAGCAATTTTCCGAGTAAGACCTCGTCCTGTAATTTAAACGTAAAATTTACACCGAATTAATTTCTCATGCTCATCATGTACTCCTAAAAACCAATGAAATCAATTTAATCATTTTTATATCTGCATTTGAAACCAACGAAATAGAAAGAAACACCCTATTTCATGATCTTGATCTATTCCTCGTGATCTCAAGTTATATCATATCCTGCTCATCCGAACTTGTCATTCCAGAAGTTTTGTTCTAATCTTCTCTTTTACAGATCGTTCACTATATTGTACTGGGACCATTACTCTTCACTATCGACTTTCTCACACTCTTTAAAGTGTTAAGAATCCTTAGTCTTCGAAAATTAATAAACAGTAAGTTAACAAGTCGGAAGTTACTAAGAGTGGGATTGTGTCCTTTTAGCACTGAAAGCAGATAATCTGAACTTATTGTTGTAACGCCTAACTATGGGAAAACACGAAAACCTGATCCTTGACATCTTGTAGCATTGCAATAGGTTTTTTGGGTATTACCAGAAAATGTACTGGTGCTTGTGGATTAACATCGTGAAAAGCCAGGGTCTAAAATATGTTCGATTATAGATTACCTGAAATCAAGGAAAAAGATCCAGAAAAAGAATAAAATGATAAAACTGCTGTTTATTTCTTTTCCAAACTTGTGCTATCAAGAAATTAGGAACAATTTCCTACACAAATAAGCTCCTTTGAAGTAAAATTTTCTCTCTCGATCGCGCCTTCCGTTTTGTGAGCAGTGTATCCCCACCAAATCAACTACGGTTGCATTTTTAAAAAGCAATAGGTTGGAAGCACTGGAGTGATATGAAGAAACAAAAAGATAAGGAAATCAAATTCTGAACAGCAATCATCAGAAAACTGCAATCTTAGGTTTTCCAATTGCGGTTCATTCTTGTATCGAAAGACCCTGACTTACATCATCATCCTCCATAACGATATTTGCAGGTATTTCTTTGCGAATAATTTTCCCGAAGACTGTATCACTCTCCGGACCGGCTTTCTGGGCTTTCTCCACTTCCGATTTCATTTTTCTTAACATGTAAGTGTGCCATTGTTGTTTTTGTTGATAAATTTTACACAATTTAAAATTCTGTTGGAAGCGTGAGAATAATGCTTGCACTGTCGGTAAGAATGTCATGACGAAAATTTGACTTCAAGAAAGGACAAAACTCAAACCATTTTACGTGTTGCTCCTAAGGACAATTTTAATTTTCATTCATTTTTCTTGACGTGTAAGTATGGACGAGACCAACTTTAAACATATTGTTTGCGTATAATGAAACGAGAGGACCCATTTCATCTGCGCTGTCACGGAACTTGTCATGAATTAACGCTAATGCCAAGTCCCTACCTAATCAGCTCTACAACACCACACTAAACAAATGAAGCGGGGTAACACGAGTCATCAGAAGAGAGACGTGAAGCGGGAAGAGGGTCTTGCGTTTGCTCTCGCCAAGACTCCAAGCGTATTCATTCCATCGTTGATTACAGCAGCTAGTTCGCTTGTCGTTGGCAACAGCCTGTTGTCATCACATTTCGTGGCGACACGTTCGAGGGCGAGTTCGATGACGGTGTTCTGTTCATGTTCGTGGAAACGAGATTGATTTTATTCCGAATATCAGTCTGCGACAGTACGGAGAAATTTTTCGCATCTTCGATTTTTTTGAGACCGCTCTTTTTTTCATTCGCTGTCAGTAGTCGTTGCTGCGAAAATTTTTTCTAAGCTTTAATTCCTTGGAAAAGCTGATGGAAATTTTGATAACAGAAATGGCCGGAGCGTGCGAAACAACATCATCATCATCATCATCAGCAGACAGATGGAGCGAGATGGACGTAGCATCAAAGATTTGCTCTTTAACTTATCGGCCTCCAGCACTGAGTGATAAGATATTCAAGGATGAATGCATGTATTGCTTCAAGACACCTCTCCATTCAGGTAGATGTTTATTTAAATTTTGATGAAGAATAGAAAACATTTTGGTCTTTCCTCGAAAATAGTACTTTAGGTCAGTCACAACACACAAATAATAATTTAGTACCAACAGTGAGGTCCAAGGTAACGATCCATATGAAGTATTTAAGTTAAAAGAAATAGTTTAATCGAAATAATGAGATTAGGAATAATTGATGATAAGTAGTTTATGATTATTAATAAATAATATCAGAAATAACATCCTACCGTTACTGCCGGGTATTCAGACTAGTTAAAAAAATTTACTTTTTATCCAAAGTTTTCAAATTACAGTTTGGTTAACAAACCAACGTTTGTTTCTGCAAATGCATTAATCACTAATTCAAAATCGTTGTGGAAATTAAACCGGTTTCTTTGAATAAATCTTGATTGAACTGGGATATCACTTGAGCTTTGGACTTTGAAGAAGTTTTAAATGCTGATTATAAAAGAAGAAAGTGAAAATATAATCTACATCCACTGTGAAAATGCAATTATTTCCAGGCGGACTATATGTTTGTCTGGAGAGGTTTGCTGGTTTCTGTACTGATCATGTGATGGGTTATTATAAGCGGACAGCAAGAAAGGGTTTTCTATGGTGTAAGCAAGTCAAAAAAATGCTACCAGAAGCCGAAGAACCACAAGATAAAGTTACCAAAGTTTGTGCAATGTTTCAATATATATAAAGCTTAGAAAAAATTTTTTTCTTCTGTGTATTCTGTTCCTTCCTTGCTCTGTGCATGTATGAACTATTGTCATTTTAAAAAACCAAGACATTTTGAAGAAGAATTGTCGCATTATTTTCCGATAAAAGAAGCAAGTGAACCATAAAATTTTTTGGTTTCACTTCTTTCAAAGAATAACTCAAGTGCTCTACACTTTATAGCATATTCCATTGTGCATTTTTCTCAGTCCTCTCTCTCTCTCTCTCTCTCTCTCTTATAAGATGGTTTTGGGGAGAATTAATAATAAGAAGTTAAATATATTTTTCTCTACCTTATTTCTGTGGATTAAATTTTTCGTTGTGAAATGAATTCTTAAATGATGGGCTATCATTATTTTCTGCCCGGCAAACTAGGTGTCGGTGACGTGTTGCACCATTTAAGTTATCAGTTGTAACAAATTTTAATGTTCTAATGAGTTTGACCATTGCAGCTGGCGATTGGTGTTGAAGGAGGTTTCAGCTCTGGTCCAAAATATGAGATCGTTAGCGAATATGCAGTCGTGCTTTGTCCAGATATCGATGAAAAAGTTCCTCTTAGCAGGTCTCTTCTTCATAATGCTTCTACATAAATCATGGATTCAGAATTTAGAAATATTCGAAATAAAAATATATTTATAATTACGTTTTTAAGACTTACACCGAAATTGACAGATGTTTGCCATAAAATTATCGAGAACGAAGGGGTGCAAAGACAGGAGATATTGGAAGCAGGAATTAACGTTTGGGAAGGTGAGGCGCGAACGAATACGAGGCATTTAAATTTGGAACAAGTATGCAGATTTTTTCAAAAGCTTCCCACTGCTGATAGTTTAAGACTGGTTTACAAGTGATAAACCGATTTCTAAAAATTGTTTATGTTGAACAACGGCCGGAATTGGCTAGTTGTTAAATCACTCATCACTCATATCATTTTGACGAAATTGGCAGTTTTTAATTCATTTGTAAAGATCGACAATGGGAAGAGAATACCTCCATGGGGTTGGAAATGTGAAGAAGAAGGATGCGATCTTAAGGAGAACTTATGGTTAAATCTAACCGATGGTGCAGTTATGTGTGGCCGTTCGCAATATATTCAAGAGGGAGTGATGAGCAAAGGTCGAAACCATGCACGGCTACATTTTGAATTGTATGAATTACTTACCTTTTGAAAAAAAGTGGTTTGTTAGCTTTAGTCCATCGTCGGATTCTTAAACCACTTCTTAAATGCCATTGTTGTAAGCCATATTTATGCATATTAACCTGTTTAAGAGGCCAAGGCATAGTCTTGCACAATTAAAATTTAGATTTATGCAATCAAATATGTGAACATTTAGATTTATGCAATCAAATATGTAGACAGTTGGCAGAGACATAATGCTTATGTAATTAAGTGTCAGATTCCTTTAACTTTTTTTTGACGCTACGCATACTTTGTAAAATTGGAGTGGAAAGAATTTTTTAACGTTTTAATGCATTTTCAGGACTGGTTATCCTTTGGTCGTGAAACTAGGTACAATTACGAAAGACGATGCGGATGTATTTAGTTACGATGAAGATGAATCGGTTCATGACCCGAATTTAAAAAAACATTTGATTCATTTTGGTATTGATATGGATAAAACAGAAAAGACTGAAAAAAGTACACTTGAAATGGAGCTTGACCTCAATCAGAAGTATGTATTGCTTTTTTTTCTAGAATTTGGTTTAAGAATTATTAAAATTGTTCTTTATTCAATGCATTGCACCTTCCGATCTTGGTGCGATTACATACGGGATACTACCGGTGTCAAACTGTTGCATTTTTGCTCTTCACTGATTAGATTATCCGTGGTTATATCATCTGATTTTCATTGGCCAACATACGGCAGTATAAACTTGACCTGCTTTAAAAGCTTCCTATGATGCGGCCTGCCTGACCTGGCATTGCTCAGTTGTTCCATTGTCATACGTGACCATGTGTCTAGGTCAGATTTTATGGAAGTTGATTCGATAGGGTACCAAGAAAGAAGTGCCAAAATGCCTTTCACAGTGCTTTGCTTTTTAAAGATGGGAATGGGAAATGTGTCAAGAGGATGGCGCAAATCTAGAATTGGCTTATGGTCCAGGCCTTACTGGAATTATAAACATCGGCTCATCTTGTTATATCAGTGCGGTAAGTGCCTTTTTTTAAATTCAGTTTTTCATCTCACATGCAAATTGTTTGTTTGCATCGAATGGATTTTTCTTTTGTAGAGGATCTGGTCGTAATCAGTTTTAATCTTGAACCTCATAAGTACTCAGCTTAATCTTAACTAAAAAGTTATGGAAATGTGATAGCCTGTGTAAAAGCTTTTTATTTTTTCCTCTCGTACTATTAGATTTAGTAACGGAAAATTTTCAGACACTACAAATGCTACTACAAATTCCTGATTTCGTACAAGCCTATGGAATAGAATGCGAAAAGCATTTTCTTAATGTTGCAATACTCGATTCTCATAATGATTTCAACTGTCAAACAGCGAAAGTATTTTCAAGTTTATTGAGTGGTGAATTTTCTCAAGTAAGTAATTACATTTACTCTACATACGTTGTTCTGACCGCTGTTCTTACTGGACCTAAGTGCGTGAGGTAATTTTATGTTGAGCTATAAATGCGTGAGATAATTCCAGAAAGACAGTGAGTATAATGGTATCAAACCAGTGCAGTTCCGGAAAATAGTATCAAGAGGAAATGCAGAATTTTCAAGTACACGGCAGCAAGATGCTGACGAATACATCAGGTATAAATAAAATTGAATTTTAGATGCATTATCATTTGGCTCTTCAAAAGAATTTAAATTGAAAAAATGTTCTGCAAACCGACAGATTTTCTTGTAAGACTTTTAGAAGGAAATCATATTTTACACTTTTGTAAAAATCTGAAAAAATCTCTACTACAATGGAAATAGATTTGAAAGAGATCTTTAACAAATTGTGTTGCACATCACTGTTGGGATCCGATGGAATTACAAAGCAGAGATGACAGTTTCCAAATTTCATGTCAGATTAACTTATTTATACTTAAGATAGACGACGTCTGACATACAAATAAATAATAGATAGCATTTTGACAGCAATATTTATAGTTCGAATATTTGCTTTGATCTTGTTTTTTCAGATTGCTTTTTAATCGAATAGATGAATTTCTAAAGAAACCGAAACCAGTTGACGCAGTGAGATTTAAACTAGAACAGCGTCTAAAAGATAACGCAACGAATAGAGTCCGTTATAGTTATACGGAAGAAGTAGTACTTTCATTGAATGTACCAGAAAAAGGCATCTGTAAACAACCTGCAGTAGGTTTTTTTAAATGGCTTGCTTACATTTGCTATATCTTTTGATTTCAAGAATGTTACCAAAAAATAGCTAGTTATGTTCGGAAAGTCAAAAGATAAGTGGGATGTTTATCGGCATTATAATATTGAGGATCTAACAGAAATCTATCGTATTCATTTTACTGTAGTTTCAAGGATGAAAACATGCCATATTTTTAAGTTCATCAATAATCCGTGTTGAATTGTATTATCAAAGTATTATCGACATTCTGATTTGTATTATTAGTATTAAGGAATGTTTGCATTCCGGAATCTAAGAGAGTATACCGATCATTTTGAAGTGAATTTTTTTAACCTATATATCGTCTAAAAAATTCAAACGTATACTTTAGAAAACAGGGGAAACGGAAGCACCAATACGACCTACGGTATCATTTGCTGAATGTTTGTCAGCAACTTTTGGGAGGCAGGAGATTGATGATTTTCGATCGCCGATAACGGATGAAGTGAAAGGAGCAGTCGAACAATATAGCATTGCCACTTTTCCCGATTATCTGATCATACAACTTAAAGTTGGCATCAGTTTTGACTTTTTTTCTATTAAAAAAAATGAGAGTTAAATATTTGTTCTGGCATACTTCATCAGAATAAGAATAATTAATCTTTTTTTCTTCATAGAAATTCACTCTGGCAGAAAACTACACTGTGAAAAAGTTAGATGTTAATGTGGAAATGCCAGACAAAATTGATTTGAAAGCATTTCGTGGCCATGGGAAACAGCCTGAAGAGATGTTGCTACCACACGAATCTGCCAAATCGAAGCTAACATTGTCTCGATCTTTCCCTGGCATGGATCCTGAAGTTTTTCACAGGGTTAGTGCTTGATTCGAAACTTAAACTTTACAGAAATTATTAGACTGTTAAACTACTCGGTTAAATAGTCCTGTCTCAATAAAGATATGATCGAAAATTGAAGCAGTCATGTAGATAGGCTTTCTAAAATAAGAATTATTAATTAAAACGTCGTAGTACAATAACTTATCTGGTTTTCTTGAAGTTTAGCTCTGTAGATCAGGTATTACACCCGAAGCTGCACGTTGTGCTATTCACATGACCAAGAATACTGGTTTCGATGCAGCATTAGACTGGTTCATGCATAGTGTTGGTGATAGGGACATCAACGAGGAACATCCTGATTTGTGGTCAAAGGTCATCGCGTTCCAAGTTTTTCAGTCACATTTCAAACATGTATAAAAAGGTTGAAATAAATGGGGATTGTCTTTTCGATCAGTAGTAGCGTGTTCACCGGTATTATGACTTGGATGTTATTTCTCATGACTAGCTTATAGATGCTGACTGCTAGCCTTCATTATTTAATGTACATGCTATCGATGTTTCAGATGCTCTTCTCATGAGCTTAACCTTTAATCTTTTGAACTTGTTAAAAGTTTTAATATTATTTCTCGTCAAACTTCGTTAATCATTCCAACCACTGCTATTTATACTTTGCAGTGTGTTCATGAAAGTTTTATATTTTTTGGAAACCGCTTCAAATTATTGCAAATGTGCAGATTCTTTTAAACTATTATGTAACAATTTTCTAAGTATCTTTATTATTGTAGGCAAGCGACGTCGACGGAATAGCAATTGAACAACTTACAAACCTCGGGTTTTCTGTTTATCAGGCGCGTTATGCCCTTCAAAAAGTCAATACTGGCATCAATGATGCGGCCGATTGGCTTTTTTCAAATGTAGACACTATACCACCCGAGGAAAAAGATGAGGAGATTAAGGGTAAGCAAAATTAACATTGTTATGGTAATCGCACTTGTTTTTTTAGCATTGACAATATTGATCAGTGTCCTATTTCCGTGGTAATTGCAATAAAAAAATTATCCTTTCATGTTGTCATTGAATGGATAGTTAATTGATAACAGATTAAAAGTAATTTGTTGACTTTTCTTTATTTGAAGATTACTTTTTTTCGGTAGACGTGCCAAAAGAATGTCGTGACGGGAAAGAACATTACCGTCTAATTGGTTTCATATCACATATGGGAAGTTCACCACATTCGGGACATTATGTTGCTCATATGAAAAAAGTGAGTTTTGTTTGTGCGTTTTAGGAGTTTCTTCATTACATGTATATATACAGCGATCGGCATATCCTTTAAGAAAAAGGCGATATAAAATAACTTCACGATTCAAAATGGTTCCACTTCAGGACTCAAAATGGTATTTGTTCAACGATGAAAAAGTAGCTATATCTCAGAATCCACCAATATTGTTGGGTTATGTCTACCTGTACGAACGATATTGTGATCCGGAGTTGACGTCATGTGACGATTAATTTCATTCGGTGATTAATTTAAGAAATATGCATTTACTGCTTTCTTTTTATTGGCTTCATACATCATCAATTTTAAACTTTGCTTCACATTTTTATGCAATGTTGAAAAATTAAGTGCTTGGCTAATGTTACTATGAGGAAATTCAGTTCGGGGCATGAACATGTCATTCTTATAATGTGTTTCTTGTGAATGATTTGAAACTTTTTTTTTTAATGAAATCTTTTCTAAAAGCATTCTTCAATCGGGTACAAAGAAGAAATGCAGCTAAACACTGCTACTATCCAAATCCGAACTATTACGCCTAAGTGAAAATTGCTAGGTAATATATCGTAACATTCACGATATACAAAATCTGAAACAAGATTTTAATCTTTAGTTTTTCTAAATTGGTACTTCTATACGAGTTCGAATTAAACAAACTACTATATAGTGGTACTGAGCAAATGAAGGCTAGCTGACGACGTTTTAAACTTTTAATGTGATCGACTTTTCGAGAGGAATAAGAAACAGGATCAGGTTTCTCGATACCTAAATTGTGAGGCCACCTACCACAGCAAATCGCTATTTAAATCACCGTTAATGGATGCGAACTGAATCTAAAACTTCCATGTTCTCAGTTACGACTAGGAAGACTTTTTATTCCACAAAGTATCGAAACAAGATAATGGTGAATATACATTAATGAGGGCGAACCTTTTCCAGCAATTGTTTCAAATAATTCACTTACCCGAAATGTTTTATGGTTCGCTGATGAAGTGTGACAGTTCAAGTTGCGATTATATTACCATTCTCGACCTTTTTCTTCCTTATCAAAATTTATGAGTTCATCTCCGATCTCTTTCGTCCGTTTGATATTTGCGTTTACTTTCGAAATGTCAGCTATAGTCACTTTTTTTAGCATTCCGTTATGCTTCTTCAGTTCATCGGCAATCGCCTGCTGCCCTTTTAAAATTCTACTTTGCTCTTTGCGTTGCTCTTTGATTTCACGTAGCAATGTCTTGCTTTCTTCATTCGTAACAATGCCTACATTTTGCTTCCCTTTCCGTTTTCCTCCTACAAATTTTATTTCTTCGTTTTGCTCTCCCTCCGAAAATGAATTCTGAAAAAAAAAAAAAAAAGAAAATCTTTCATTTTCTTCGCATAACCTTTCAAAATTGTTAAAGTCTTGAAGAAATTAAAATTTTTTGCCAGTTATTTAGCTCAAAAAAGTTATACATATCACTTCACAGCTACTATTACAACTTAGGCAATTGTAACTCAAAGTAAAACCAATCTACATACCTCCTTTTTTAGACCTCATCTTGTGATACTAGTTTCCTCTACAAAGCTATAATAAGCTGGGAACATTCAGAAGATATAAAGGCATGCCTGTAATTTCGTGCCATTGTTATCAGTTTTGACGTTTTCCAAATGTTTTAAAGCAGTTTCCACTTTTTCACTATCTAAAAAAGACTAATTCTTTTAATTTTTAAAAGAGCTACTTCTTCCTTTAACAAGTGGAATTGTTCAAAAGAAATGCTATTTTGTCACATCGAGGACATAATGAGAAATGAAATCCTATTTTACTATTTCAGTAATTGACAGAGTTATAAAGCATCATAAACCGTTCGTTCCCTAAAGAAAAGGCATCCATAAATTTCTTGCTAACATTATGATAGATGATAAATCTTACAGATAACTTATAATTAAAAAAAATGAAGTACTGCAATATTTTCAAATATCTGCAATCTCCAAAATTTTCCAAAAGACTACGTCGTTTTTTAGAAAGGACTATTTAAATTAGCATGAAATTCATCGGCAAAAATCTGAACAGAAATAATCTAAACCTATTTGTTTAGGTAAAATGATGTCGACAACATTTGTTTCCTGTTCCGTATGTAAAACTGCCCATGTACTTCCGATGAGCATAAACGAACCGATTATTACAGACACCTGAAAAACAACTTACCAAGTAGAGATGAAAAACTCACAAAATTCCGAATGCCATTAAAAAAATTTGATTAAAATTTTCGGAAAACAATGGAAAAGTTTAAATGAAACGAAAAAATTCCATATTTATTATATGAATGTTCCTTATACTTTTGCATAAAACATTAAAAGACGAAATTGTTCAATGCCACGAGATACTGAGAGGAATAATAACGATGGAATGATGATCGTTACAAGAGAACCAATCGTCGCACCCGTTATTGCAAGGATAAATTCAACTGAAAATTATCATCTCGATCACTGTCCTTTGGATTTAATTTTAAAAAATTTCGACACTTACACTACCAAATTAACTCAGATAACTTCTACATTATTTTGAACTAATAATATTATTTAAATTATTTTTTTTCTTCAACTCTTTAACTTAGCTCATTCACATATTAGTTGAATTTCGCATCAGAAGAGTAATGTAAAACAAGTCTATGCAATCATGAAACATTTGTTGGACATCAAAAATGACTTGTACTGCTTGCAACCGATATAAGATGTGCATGACATAACGAAATAAAGTCGTCCAGTTGGTCGAGACAAAGACAGTTGATCATAAAAAGATTATTCAGGACAAAAAAAAAACCAGACATGGAGACACTCATTGTAATTATGGCATGTCAACATCGAAAACATCAAGTTGAAAGCTCGAAAGCCTTCTACAATATTAATATACTTCGCCACAATACAGACTGATTATCTCATTACGACGGAAGTTTTTTCTGAATGGAAGCCAGATAACCTGAACTCTATCGAGAGCTTAAAAAGGAAGGATTTTTCCTTTTGATACAACACTATTTCCGTCGAGCGGAAAAAAACAACGAATCGACATTGGATTTTGTTTTTTCTGAAGCAACATTAAGTTGAAAAGTATAAACATACCATTTGGTACAATTACTGCAGTTAATAAACACGAAGATAAGAGGAATACTGTCAGTGAAACAAATATTAACGAAGGCATACGCAGCACAGCGTATTCACAAGCATCCTGCAAAATTCGAAAAAAAAAAGTTAAGAAAAAATTTTCATGACATTTTCAGATATTCCATTCCCTTACTCTCCGAGTATCGTCATCCGTACCCTTTAAAACATCATTTGTGGGCCTGAATTTCTTATTCATTTTTTTCTAATGCTTCAACTCTCAACTCTTCCAAAAATTTGCGGGTTCTCTTCTTCCACTTCTTCCAAAGATCCTATCATCCCAGCACTTCAGAATGCTTTCTTCAATCTTACTCCATGAAAAAAGAAAAGTTCTATGTTTCATTCAAATATCATCACCGATATTATCTTAGTGATTTCTGGTATCTGACCAACAACAGCACCAAAAAATACCGATTTCAAGAGAAGATTATAAAACGCAATTCGACTTGGAAACAACATAAGTGGAACACTGACAGCTACTGATAGCATGAAAGTTAGTTTCATTAGTTGGGTCAGTAAAGAACTTTGCAGATACAGGAGAATATCACCATATAATTCGACATCATGAAAGGCAACATATCCGAACAAACCAACGGCTGCATACATACCACTACAGATGTTCACTGCTCCCGAAACTATTGTATCCACCTAAATTTTATAGCTCAAATCGTTTATTGATTTTAAAAAGAAATTCAGTTCAAAATATGCTTCACGAAAATATGAAAGAAAATAAAAAATACAAAATATTTGAAGAAATCTTTAAGTCGAACTAACACTGACGAAACATAAATGAAATGTTGAAAATTAAAAGAGCGTGGAAGGAAAATTAGACAAATTTTTATTTTCAAGTAACACAGTGTCTCATGTTCAGGTTGACGTAATATAATTTTTTTTTGTTTGGCGTTGATGTCCAGCTGGATAATTTATTTGTTGCTCAGTAAAAGAAGCTTTTCAGTATCTTCAAAAGGACAAGTGACAAGGAATACAAGAAAGTAAGACTTGTTTGGTTGCTAATTTATTTGCAGAATGTTGATGCAGAAAAATTTTATTGGATTTTTGGATTTTCGACCTCAACAGTTGTTGGAATAAAATTCCAGTTTCAACTCACTAAAAGAATTATGCAAACATAGCACGCTTAAAGTTCAAAGAACATTACAAGCTGCGTAGATAACACATAGATTTATGATATCATGCTTTAAGTAAATTTTAATATTTTGCATTATAAGTTTACATTCTTACCTATTCCATGAAATATTCTTCTCTTACAATAAAGAAAGATAATCGAAAAAGGAGTTAACCTAACAAAAAATGTACCTTAGCAGCCGATGGCTCTTTTATACAATCAGTGACACAGAACAATTGTGTTTGACAGGACAGTGCCATTGAAATGATAGGCAAGCTGAAAAAAGTTAATAAATTTCTGGATGAATCACTGCGAACGAAGTCAAACATATGTCATTAAAACCACGTAGAAAACAGGAACTAAAAAAATTTCTAACTTGCCTCAAATTAAAATGAAGTACAGAAAAACTACGAATCAATAGATATATGATTCAAACACACTGTCAGCTCATAGTTATCTCAATCTCAGTCCTTGTTTCTTTAGCAAACACTCATGTACTTCTGTGGTTCTAATAAAAGAATAAATAACCTATTCAATAAACCTTCTTGTCGCCACCAACGTATATCAGTGCTCCAACTGAAGTCGAAGATTCGTGGAATACATTCAGCCAACATGCGCAATACAAATACACCGTAAAACAATACGGTTATTGAACTAATTTTAGATAGACTGGTTACACTACGGAATAATGACAGTGGTAATATAACAAAGAGAAAAACTACTACCTGAAATTCCAATACAAAAATTCGGTAAATCTTGATCAAAATTCAGTATCATTCCTTACCAAACAGCAAACAATCTTTCTGCGATTAAAGTTTCTCATTTTGTCTGATTTTATATAAAATTTTTTTTTTTTGTAAATTTTTGAAGGAAAAATTTCAGAATAAAATGAGGAATCAAAAGTATTCGAAATAACTAAACAAAAGCAAAAAAGTTTACCATGACAAGAATTCGTAATCTTTGAGTAGGAACTTGCAATTCCAAATAATCGGCCAATACATGAGGACCAATATCACCAATTACAACCATAAAAGATATGACACACGACATCAAAAATAAAATCATAAGCAACTGCAATTATAATGTTCTTATATATTAATGAATGAAAAAATATGTGCAAAGAAATTTGAACTTAAATTCCCGATACAAATCACAATAAAATTAAGATGCAATTGATTGCTATTAATTCAAAAAAGTAAATAGCAAATAGGAAATTAAAATCTTAGGTCAAATCACATTATTTGATCGCAAGTGTTTCTAATAAAAAAAAGTAAAACTTAAGATTATAATTGTATCTGACAAACGAGCACATACTTCTGGAAAACGGTTAATTTAAATCAGAAATTTATGAAGTAAAATGAGTCAGTTAGATGAATCGAAATTAACCTCAACGAAACGCCTTCCATTACTACCAAAAGCGTACAATGCCATAGATTCATAACTTCGACGCCTGTAATTTCGCTTTTTTAAAATCTTTCATTGAAGTTGGAAGAATTATCTGAAATTCAGAAGTATGATTTCAAAAACTTATTTCTAATTTCTGGATTATACTACATCTTCTTGAAATTTATTCCTCAAATCTTCTAAATCTTACCTATAAAGAAGAAAAAAGACTTAACTAATCAGACATATGGTTTCCAATTCTCATAAAACAAAAAAAAAACCAAAAATTGAGGAATTTTGAAGAAATGTGAATTACATTCTTGGAAACGGTTATAAAACACGAGAAGTTGGTATGGCAGTGAAGTGAATAAACTAATAAAACGTGTATATAGTGAACAGAGTATGCAAGAAGAAACTAAATATATAATTATGAATTCATACCGTGTCAGAAGCGCTCCTTGATACAACAAATGGCAAGTGATTTTGGTTAATATTGAACAAATCCCAATTAGGATGGTACCAAGTAAAATGCCACACTAAAAATTGCAAATTGCAAAAGCAAAAAAAAGTAAAAGAAACATGATTTAATAAAACTGCATCTGAAATAACTATATATGAAACTAATTACGTATATGTCAATAATTTCACGCAGTGTAATATTATTATGGAAATGCCGGGTACTGTATATAAGGCGGGACAAAATTTTTGATGTCTTTCTACTAAGTATGGCGAATCACGTAAACATTACTTCAAGAAATAAACCAAATTATAAGTATCTAAAACTTCATGCGACGTAATCAGTTCATGACATGAATATTTGTAATTTCCTGCCACACCACAACGGTGTTCACAAACATCATGTATTGAGCGACATAACATGAAATGGTTTAAAAAACTGTTGGCTTTTTCTGACATAATAATTGCGCTAAATCATGAGCAATAAGTATTGCAATAATTACGTGACATCACAAACATCTGTAACTTCACGGTATAATTACACGTTATGTAGGAAAAATAATGATTTATCTCATAAACTCAAACTGTTTCCATACTTTTGGTGTTATCTGAAAACAGACCCCAACACGTGAACTCAATACCTGTTGCAAACAATACGGCATGGCAAGCATACTCACACCAACAGTACAATTCGCAAGGTTGAAAACATGTGGCCACTGATTGAATTTCGATAAAAATGTTCGATCGCTGTTCCTTTGCTCACTTCGATCTTTCTCCTTCTTCAATGTAGCATACATCATTCCACACTGCTTAGCACTGAATTGAAATGTCATGAATTCGACTTTCACCAATTTTGAACTCCCGTTTTAATTTCTTTCTGAATCTGATATAGTTGGTCAAATATTGACTGACTTAATTTTCATCGCTTTAGCTTTGCGTTTACCGTAGAAGGAATTGTGTGCTGAAATCAAAATAATTTAAACAAACAAAATATGATAGCAGTAAAATCTGTTCATGTGGCAGCTGCAAAGATGTGAGCTACACGTCTCAGATGGAGAAATTTGGGCTATACTTAGAACATTCCACGTGACTATGCGGAAAATATTATTGCCTTGCTGTAAATACGTGACTAATACACCACCCAATCAAAAATGACGTAATGCCACGCTTCATGAAAAATATTGTCCATATTTGTTCACAGTTTAGATTATTGAAGAACTGAGGTCGAAGTCGTTTTCCATAATGATTTTTTGATTAGATCCGAGCTCATGGTACTCAAACATTTATAAAGAAGTTTGACACTTCCATGTCATTCACTATTATCTTCCACGTCCACGTAATCTTTTGTGAGGAGTAAGAACAATACATCCATCGAGAGTAAAAGCATGTAACAGATATTTCATATTAATGACGTGTTAAGTAATTATCATGAAGAATCAGTTCAACGTCATGTTTATGTTAATATTTAAGAAATGAGAAATTATGAGGTGAAGCTTCCTAACAGTGTGATCCGCGCTCAGTTATAATTTTTCTGGAATGTGTTGTGGGAAAAAAAGAAGATTGAACGCTTTCATCAGATCAGGCTTGATATGGCTAATAACTTGGAATAGTGATGTGGGAAATTTTGTAAATTATTTATGCTGAAAGTGATCCATTCCCCTTGGGAAGATGGATTGACTTGAGAGTTCAGGTTGACGAATGATTATTAGGCACAGAAACAATGAAGAAGAATCAGCTGGTCTTCTCACTGCTAATGCTCCTCCTCTCCCACTCATCCATGCTAACAACTTGTCAGCGTACACGTAGTATCCGCTCCTTTCTCTTATTGCATCACTCTTACTGCTATACCTTACTTCTCTCCAGGATGAGCATTTTTCAAGAGGTATGCATTTCTTCTTCCTAAATATTCTACCCTTATGGTGACTTTTTCCGGACAACTGACACGTCCGGCAAATACGCCAACTAACAACTGTTCTGGTAGGCGAAAAAGTTAGAATGACACAACCGGTTGCTGCATGATAAGAGAGTGACTGTTTTAGATTCGTAAATTAGTGGATGATGCCACTTGGCGGTATAAAGTGCACGATGGATTTGATGTCACACCCACCGACACCTTCAAACAAATTGTCTCCAAAGTGTAAGTGCTAGAAGGACAAATATCAATTTTGTATTTGCAACGCTGCGACAGACTTGAAAGCTTAATTGTGCTCTTACGCTATTGCCTTTCATCCTCATCTATCTGCAATGAAGTGAATGCTTTAAGTGAAGACCGGCGATCTTTGTCATCCCTTCTCGGATACCGTCTCGGTCACCTTCTTCCAATCTCGGATTACACACTCACACAACTTCCGGTTATTGCTAAGTCGGCGAGTAATAATCAGATTTCACTGCTGCTAAACATATTTGATATGAATTTAAAATGAGAAAGGCTAAGATAGGTTTCGGCGTCTTTTCAGTGCTGATTCTTGCCTCGCTTTAATCCCAGGTAAATACCAAGGGTCAGAGTAAGTAAATGCGAACGATAAGCCGTTTCTAGCAACTTTCAATTTGGAAACCCAGTCCGCAATCATTTCTTTACTTTTCTTACTTATCATTTCTTTACTTATCATTTCCTTACTTTTAATTAAGCACTTTATCCAAAGCTTTCCTGACAGGTTCTGGAACTTTTAAAAAGAAACATTTGGACCCAAATTGCGTTCTGATCTTTTTCCTTTGCCGCTTTGCGCGTGATTTTTTTGTTGAATCTCTCTGTTCTCCTCTTAAATCAATCTGTCAACAAAACTCTCTCTGTAGCGAAGGCGATACGTGTCATCACAAAATACTACTCTTCAGATTCTTCCCCGTCAAAAATGTTTGGAGGAGAGCCAGTTATTGTACACTCCGCGAAATGTATCAACCAAACTTGGGTGAATATCGCCGGTCGAAAAGTTTTTCTTCATTAGCACCAAGCTGTGGGATGCCTTATGAGTATGTTCTTATCTGCAAAATTTCAAGTTCTTCGTTGGAAGACGGTTTTTTCGGACGAATAATTTTGGACTACTTTAAGTGATTGCTTCTTGTGCCTTCGATTATTGCTCATTTTTGTGCGGTAAGTTCAACTTTCTCCATGAAATCCGGCTCCAAGTCTTATTTGGATATTTTACCATGAAAGATTGGGGAAACATTGCCCTACCACTCAACATAAAATCGCTGGAATTCCTTACTTTGCTTACTGATAATAGTGATAATGATTTTGAAGGAATCGTGACGCGCAGCGATATTTCGGATCATTTCGAAGTTACGTACCAAAACAAGCGGAATGGAAATTTGCACTGGAGAAATACTCGAAACCAAGAATTTACCGAAAACGTCTGTTGAAATCGAAAAAGGAAATGAACGAGGTAGTTTTCCTCGAGATATACCTGATCGATAACATAGTAATTAGTGAGGGGCATAGAGTGTGTTGAAATGACTAACATTGGGGAAACGAGTGTGGAATTTAACCTGTATCAGTCGTCGTAGAGAGTATGATAGCTCTACAGCATCAAGAAGAGCTGTCTTGAAGAAACAAGAAAAAAGAAGTCATTTATGAACGAGACAGCAAAGATCGAAGTTGTCACAATCTCCCGATGAGTTTCCCATCCATCACACTTATTTGGATACATCACTCTTATTATATGCGACATTTTTCCTACCAGCGAAGGCTGGAACCATACTGTGTAAGTCCTTCTCCAGAAATAGAAAGTCGGCTCAAACGTATTACCACAACATTAATATTGTTCAGTAAAGAATTGAAATATAGGTCCCATCTGAACTTAAACTGAAACTATTTTACCGGAAGCTGAGCGAATTCCCGACATCAACATCCAGAGTGGATAATTATAATTTATATTGGCGAGGTCAGTTAATTATTTTAATTATCTGTTTTGCAAATTTAAATAACTGAAAATTTAAAAAATTGAAAGGTAAGAGAAATTTAATTAAATTTGATGCAACATTGGAAAGCTCTCGTTGAATTGCATTCACTTTTCCTTTTTCAGGTCGTTTGAATGGTGTCTTTGGGACAGGTGCACTATTTTATCCCTCAAATTTCATAGGGGAGGAAGATCGACGATATGAACGAATTTATTGGGGTCAAGATTTGATGGATTACATAACACCGAGTGCAAGACATGCTGCTAGTTTATTACTTTCGGCATATTGAAATGATACGACAGAAGAAAGATAATGAAACGTTGATATAATTAGTAATATAAAATATGGCCGGTTAGATGTTAAACTACCTGTTTCGATGGATGATTGAGCTGCTGGTGATTTAAAAAGATTGTTCAAATTTTACCCATTTGGCGTAATGGATGAGAATAGTGCCGAATACACACGTTGGTTTCTTTCCATTAGTTGAGAATATTCTGAAACGACGAATTGTAAGGCAGTATGATTTAACTGTTTGCTTTATTTATTCCGAACATCATTCATCCATTTTTCAATATATATAACGGAAATCTTAGCATTTCACTTTAACTCCATCCTGAAATATCTCTGCGACTGAATTTCAATCCTATTGCACCCGACATCTCGTGCGTACATTCTTATGAATAAAACATAAAAAAGCAAGTCCTTACCGGTCAGTGAACCGGTAAGGACTTGCTTTTTTGTGCTTAGTATTCTGCGGAATATTTCAAGATGTTTTCGATAATTCTTTAAGATTTTTGATCGAGTAGACAGTGTCTTCCATTTTTCAGTGATTAATACTTATTACTGTCATATTGATTGCGCATTACTGCTATTACCAATTAAAATCTCAGTGATGTGGTCGTTAGCAGCAGAAAAAGTAATGCTTACTATATCGGACACCGAAGTACGATAGTGAGATGATATTATGGTATTACTATCACTATAAACGCTTCGGCGTTACTGACTATAGAAAATAAGTGTTATTAAAACAGTAAAAAGAACTGAAATGATACTAGGATTCTGGACAACTTCCTTTGCAATTTATCCAAATTTATTGTAGTAAAGATTCAGAGAATCTAGAAATTCAAGAAATTCAGTAGACAGTGGATTTATTACACTCGAAAAGAATTTTTTACAGGGTGTACTAGTGAAAAGAGAAACAAACTAAGTTAAGGAAATTACCTTGTTTCTCAAATACATAATGTTACACAAACAAATCACAAAAGAGCTTGTTCGACAACAAAACGCGATAAAGTTTAGACGTTCAAACTTTTTTTGCAAAAGGTGTTTCAAAAATTATTTTCAACGAAACTCACAACAGTTACAGCAAGTTCACTTAATTACAAACAATATTTGTAGCAAAGAAATGTAGTCAAAAAATTAAATATTGAGAGATTTCGCATCATTTCACTGATGCATATTTTTATTTAAGTAATGAAGCCACTTAGGCTTCACTCTTAAATAGTTCCATCACGAAGGAAAAAGTTTCCAAAGGTTTTTTGAAAAGTTTCTAAAAAAAAATTCCAAAGAAAAGAATTTGCAATTTAATTTTCAAGATCTCGATTTTGAATCTGATACCAAGTTGCTGAGATAAAAGGAGCAATCAACAATGAATCAATCAACATATTCAAGTTTACTGAAGATTGGCTTATGAAATCTCGAAAAATCCGTATGAACAACCTGTGACTCTGATTCTTCAAACTTTTAATCTTCTATTGATATCACATATCAGTATATTATCTGTATGCATTTCTATTTTCCAAAATTTGACGAATTACTAGATCGAATAATTTACAAGCCATTGATGTAAGCAGAAGTTGATATTGAGAAATCTGAAATTAAATATGTATCAAATCAAGCACAGAAGCAATACGGATTTTGAGTTTCCGGATGAAGATGAAAGTGAGTTGGATGAATAATTCAATCAGTCAGCTTTGTGAGAGCACACAAGCGTTGAAGAATGGTACAGCTGAAGTAACAATAAATTGATTGATTACAGCGCTGATCGTAATTAGTAGCAACCTGCTTATGGATACTGTCAGATGAAACAACGTACGCTCACAGATGACAACAAATACTACTGACTCCTAATAAACATACAGGTCATTAGCAAAATGAACAAAGGGAAGCTTATAAAACACTGCGGGTGCCAGAGGCATTCAGGTGTTCACACATCAGGTAGAATACTGTTCGCAGAATGATTGGCACTTTCCTTGTGCAATCTCTTCTTTCCCGATGTTTCAGCGCTGAGCTTCTCCTGGAATTAAAAAATAATTGTAACAACGATTGGATACAATATTCAAAACACTGCTGCATTCCTGATATCCCTTCTGGGGCAAAGGATAATTTGCCCCAACAGCCAAAAGAAACTGGTATGGCACAGTCTAATTTTAGCGAGCCGTCTCGTAAAAGAAATATTTCAAATACTTCAAAATTTGCTATGTATTTTTTGGCGTATATTTTGAGCTTAACAGCGGTTTCTGCACAATCCACTCTAATCCGTGCGCTAAATTCCTCTGAAAATAAAAGAAAATATAATTTATGCACAATGTGATGCAATCTGCAAATGCGCACTCAAAATTAACACTACCAAAAATGTACCTTTCTCATCAGGATTGATTTTTAAGTAAAGCGAACAATTTGAAAGAACCGGAAACACGGACGGAACTGTAAAATGCATTTAGTTATTTTAAAAAGTAAAATTTTATGATTTCAGTCGCTCTTTGAAAACATGCAGGAAACATTTGAAAAAATTAAATGCCAAATAGCATACGCTGAAAAGCGTGCTTCCAACGATACCGTCTGTTTCCGGTTTGTAACATCTCGTAAACATCCATCGCACTAATATGCTCCTCCTTGCCGGATGCAACACAGTTCACCGTGTCCTTCTGGTGGTCAATCATGAAGACCGAAAAAATGAGAAGAAAATGAAACGGATATTTGCACTGTGGAATGCGACATTGGACACGAGCGGGATTGCACATACAAACTGTTAGCAGTCGGTCCAACCCATACAAACCATCAGTACTTCCTGATACCTTTCTCTGCCATCAGCAAACAACAACCACTTTGACACCATTTATTATCTGATTCATTAGCAACTTAAATTCAACTATTTCATTACAAACTTAACCACGTCCAAACGTGACCTGGAAATGTGCAAAGAACGTCTCATACCAAGTAAAGGAAGAAACAGATCTCCGCTGATATTAAAATCTTCATCAGTTCCGAGGCGAATAAATTCCAGTAAAATAGCGGAAATACACATTGTCCTTTGAAACATGCCAACCAATTAATACTCTGAAATATTCCCTCCAAAAGTAACTCCCTCACTTCTATTCTCACGGGATTTCCATGCGCCTAGAATCCACACGTCACTCCCATCTCTCTCCATTAATTACTCTTTTGCTGTTTCTCATTATTTTGTGAATATTTCTCCATTTCTTTTACTCTCTGTCTTTTTAACAGAAAATATATAATTTCAATGAATCGATTCCCTGCGCTCTCTATCACTTCCCGCTGACTTTTATTTCCGAAAAAAGTTTGATTTATCGAATTGAATTCAGTCGAGAATTACTCTCAGCAGTGATAAATAAACTGATAGAAATGATACCAATTAGTCTTCAGTGACATTTCCGTCCTCGGTTGATCTTCGAATTCACAGAATTAATCACATTGCATTCGTGCTGCTGTTGGATGGAGTGTTTGAGGAGTATAACTAATTTTTGTAATTAAGGAAATGACTATTTACCATAAAGGATGTTCTGAAAATACCTTAAAACCTTCTAATTACTTGTAATTTAAAGAGGAAAAGTTAGTGCCAGATGTTTTCACACTTTCTCCTTTTTTAAAGAATTATAAGAAATTGAAACCTTATAAAATCCGACTAAATATTTCGAAATTCAAGCTGTTGTCAAGTTTGTTAAACAGTGAAATCATCAAATTAAAGATGTGCAGTTCTGCTGAGTCTATATCGGCAATGTTTTGGAGCCTCCGGTGCGGAAGTTCCAGAAAGGTGGGAGACATAATCATTCCGGATTTCTCCTCTCAACTTTTTCTTTCTTTACAAAATCAATTACTTTGTGCAATTCTCGGATGGAATTATTGGATTATTTGAAGAAAAAAAGAACCCATCCGATGACAGATTCCCATGAAAGGTTGTCAGTAACGGACGCAGTCATTTCACTTAGCAAATTTCGGAATAATTAGTTTGAGTGAATCATTATCTTCAGCTCCTTGAGGCTACTGTCAGTTGCAAAGAGCTAGAAATCTGGTGACTCCCGGAGAAAAGCACAGACTGCGTGACGTCATGCGAACAATCGTTACCATCATTATTCGAATTTCGTTGCCATCTGCTTCTCATAGAGTGAAGTGGAAGCGGAGAGTGGAGAGTGCAGAGAGAGTTATGGAGTGAGGCAGGAATGGAGAATGGAGAGATAGAGAGACAGGTGAAGTTCGGTTGATCCTGTTGTTCTGTGCACTGCTGTGGGCGTGTTGGCGTGCAGCTCGTGCAGTTTCTCGAGTCTCCGTCTGACCTCTTCCACGTTCGTTGTTACAGATGACTGTCCGATGTGATGTGAATGTAGTCAAAATTCTTGGTCAGCAATTTTTCAGTGTTATTCAGCTAGGAGATACGTGTTTATCGCATACTTGTAAGTGCATTAATTTAATTTTAAATAGGAAATGATAAGGGCGACGATTATCATTCGTTAGTGCTAGGATATTTTGATGGAATATTAAACTGTAAACTTAGATGGCAAAAATGACGTTATGAGTACAGTTAGTTAAGAAATGACTTCAATGAATCAACAATCTGCATCTCTTTTTCTTTCGCTCCATTTGAAGACTGTTTGTGTTTTTAGTTTGTTCCCATTCCGTTCACTTTCCACAGTGAATTTAAATTCCCGGGTCAAAATCTTAAAATCTTTTAAAAAAAGAATTTATTGTGATGTAAACTCGTGTTGTGAATGTTTCTCGTGTAGAATTCTTATTGAGTGCTTTGATTCAGCACACTCGAATAGTTTATTTTTGATGGAGAGGTTTATTTTTCTTGATGTCATGACATGATTGCCAAAGGATAATAATTAATTGAATCGATCATTGCATTGATCTTCATTGTTGATACGGGGAGAATAGTTGAGACGGCTGTTCATGGGAATAGGAAATGATAAGATAGCAAGAGTACTAAGTTACACTCCAACACTTCTCGTTAGACAATAATTTTTATAGTTTATGAAATTGATTGATGGATAACTGATGGATAACTTGATTATTTGATAAACAAAACTAATAGTAAACAGAGGACCGTGAATCAAGATATTAAACAAAGCATATTGATACAATCCTGTTGGATGCAAAAATGATAAAAAGGCTAACAACAGTTTAACTACTGAGTATAAGTTTAGTTTTAGAATGGAAAAATTTACATGTGAATGAATTTGCCAAATGTTCAAGATATATAAAATTTTAGCTGGAAGAATTTATATATGAATTGGATAAACAGATTTTTTTAATATGAATATCTACAGTACAAGATACTTTATGTATTTTTATAAGTTATTTAGGTTTCCCACAACTCGGGACTTTTAATTCGGAACGTTCGATTTCCAAAATGATATATGGTCGAGATAGGATAGAATAATTAATAGAAAATTGAGGTAAGATAGAAGGACATGTAAAGTTTTATTTGTATTAATATGATAACAACTACATGGTA